GATATAGGATGCGTGTCAAGTCATCCCTATATCCCACTTTCATTTTGAAGAAATGATTTTTCCACTTGTACTCTACCGTCCCACCGCAGTACTCTAACGCGCGGGTTAGTGCAGGCGCTAAACCTACGTAGCGCATAACGTTGTGAGCAGGCCTGGGGGATCCACAGGTTTTCCTTTTTCTTTTTCCGTGTAGGAACCAATTAGTATTACAGATGCAGTGACTATCATACAATTTACATTGTTAACGTAAAAGTCTCCTGAATGCATGCGCTGTTACGTAGTTCACACATAAGTCTTTTGAATGTCAGTGTAGAGTTCCTCTCCAGCCTTCAGGGGAGCTCCCAGTGTTCTGGCCTCTTCAGTGTAGGCAGCCACATCCTCTGCCGTCCATGTCAGCAACTTGAAATCTGGACGCTGGAGCACTGTTTGGATGTCGGGGGATGGGACTCGAACCCACAACACATTTATTTAGGCAGAGTGCTCTTGTCCCAGGGCAGCTCAGGAGGCAGGGGCTCAAAGAGTATGTAACCAACTACACGTGCAAAGTCAAACCTACACACTCTGGGACAGGAACTACCTAATTCGACATACACTGAGGAGCAGGCCCGGGTAATGAAACATCCCAAAGACACCCAAACTCAGTGCAAGTTCAATTGTACAAGAAGCCTAAGCCAGGGCAAAGCAAACAATTCAACAATACCTGCATATAGATACGTACGGTATGTACGTGTGTGTGTGTGTGTGTGTATGTATGTATCTGTATGTGCGTGCGTGCGTGCATATGCCTGGACTCTGGCTCCGGGTTCCTTTCACAGACAAACTCATTTAGACACACACTTTATGTCAGTCTTACCAGCAGTTGATCATGGTCTGATAGACAGCTCTAGGACATCCAGGTGGGGGAGGGAGGCGATATCCTGACTGGATCTTCTGGTACAACTACAAACATACAATAAAATGTCAGTTTGTTGTGTTTTTGAGCCTGTTGCTAACCTCATTATTAGGTGCAATTGATATTTTTTCAGCTCACTTTTTTTCCAGAAGAACTCCATGGAGAATGATGACATTGGGATTTTTAAACTGGCCCATGATGGCTGCTTCCTGCAGGAACTGAATACGTTTCTCCTCTGTGGAGCCATCTGCCAGTGACTTGACAGCCACCTCTCTCTCCTCTCCCCCCACACTCCACACTCCCCTCCTCACCACACCAAACTCACCACTACCCAGCTCACTGGAAAGTCTACATAACATTCATTTGATACACTAAGTGTGAGTTCTCCAGTAGGTGACTCGCGTGAGGCCATCAGGTGAGATGGTGCATTCTGTGAGTTGTTTCTTGAGTTCCTCTTCCACACTGGATGGCTCCCAGAATGGCATGTCATAGTCTCTGCTGAACTCAAAGAGTCCCTCAGCTGAGGCTTGAGGTGTCTCAAACGATTTACAAACAAATTAGAGGTTGGGGGTGGGGGACAGCGAAATGGGAGGAAAAGGATTGGTGAAGCTAGATAGGGATAGTTTCAGAAAGACAGAGTAAAATGCTATTCCATACTGCAATGATAGTCACAATGTCAATGGTGGTTGGTTTGTCTCTTATCCTAACGGTGCACCTACAAAAAATGCAAAATAATTAACACCCTTTTTAGAGGAAGTTGGGGGTGGGGGACAGCGAAATGCTACAATACATAATATTCTGGCTAAATCGAATAGTTAGTGAGGATCCATGGGTTCTTTATGTCTTCTTTTTTTGAATTAATGACATCAATACATGATATATACAGTGTAAATGAGTAATCTTTGTAGACATAAAGTCTCTTTGCTATTGAGGCATTGCATAAGTCTTTTGCATCTCAGTGTAGAGTTCCTCTCCAGCATACAGGGGAGCTCCCAGTGTTCTGGCCTCTTCAGTGTAGGCAGCCACATCCTCTGCCGTCCATGTCAGCAACTTGAAGTCTGGACGCTGGAGCTCCACTTGAATCTCAGGGAAAGTGGGTCTGGAATCTGACTCTGGGTTCCTTGCAAATAAGGAATTTCCTCATATTGACACACATTCACAACTAAAGACCTACCAGCAGTTGATCATGGTCTGATATACAGCTCTAGGACATCCAGGTGGGGGAGGGAGACGATGTCCCGACAGAACCTTCTGGTACACCTACGAATCATACACAATGTGTCATACTATTGAATGACCAAAGGAAATTCTTTTTTACCTCATTGTTTGTTATAGTGCTATATGGCTTGATGCCTAGTGTCCATATCTCATAGAGGACAACTCCAAAGCTCCACATGTCACTGGCAGTCGAGTACTTCTTGTAGTGGAGAGCCTCTGGAGCTGTCCATTTCACAGGGATTTTCCCTCCACGAGAGACATAGTAGTCAGTGTCTTGCAGAACTCGGGACATGCCAAAATCAGCAATCTGGAAGGAGGGAAAGGTATAGGGTTTTATGGTAAGCAATAAACATCAAGACAGACCTTCCACATTTCCTCATGAGAGACCAGTATGTTCCTGGCAGCCAGGTCTCTGTGTATGAACCCCTTCCCAGACAAGTAGGCCATTCCTGAGGCAATCTGACGACAGAAACTCAGCACTAGTGCAGCAGTGTGTGGAGCCCTGTCATGAAGGCTTCAATCCAGAACACTCATAATTTCAGCTATCTCTATTACCCAGATTTAAAGGAGCAAAGGTGATGCAGAAGGTTACCACTCTTCATCAGCTCAACCACAATCATCACCTGGTTACATAAGTCATGGTAAATCACACAATAACAGGTGCAATTGATATTTTTTCAGCTCACTTGTTTTCTTTCCAGAAGAACCCCATGGAGAGTGATGATATTGGGATGTTTGAATTGGCCCATGATGGCTGCCTCCTGCAGGAACTGAATGCGTTTCTCCTCTGTGGAGCCATCTGCCAGTGACTTGACAGCCACCTCCCTCTCCTCTCCCCCCACACTCCACACTCCCCTCCTCACCACACCAAACTCACCACTACCCAGCTCACTGGAAAGTCTGCAAAACATTGTGACAGTGCTTCTGCAAAAACATATTTGGCTTACAAGAGACCATCAAGCGAGATAGTCAATCCTTCCAGTTGTTTCTTGAGCTCATCCTCTACACTGGCTGGCTCCCAGAATGGTTCATCATTGCAAAGCCCACCTAAAATTAATTAATCATCACACTTTGGTCGGCCTCAAAATTTTGAGCATAGTCATAGGAATGTGATGTACTGTCCTATGTACATACAAAGGGATAATAATATCAATAGTCTGATGTGTCAAAAATTAGATCTGATTGAAATAGAAAGTGAAACATGAAAATCTCAAATGTATGGGCATAATGCAGGACAACCTGTGTCATCCCTATAAGTACTACCGTACTTAGTGATAATGCTGTTTGGTCGACAAGTGGCCACAAAATATGATGTGGCTATCTTTACTGGGATTCATTCAGGCATTTTATAGGGCTTAGATACTGATTATGGCTCTTCTTCCTATGTGAGAAAAATTCCTTGCATTTGGTGTTGTCCAAAAGCTTACGTCGTTGGCTTTAGCAGATAAAGTGTGTCCAAAGTAAGGAGGACAGGAGTATATTTTCAGGTTAGCAGGAAGTTTCCTCGACTTGACCATCCTCCGCTTGACGAGGATAGCCACCACCACTGAACACAACACCAAGAACAAAAGAACGATTATCACTGTGGCTACTGCAACCCTAGCTCTATTATCAGCCTCCGTCTCATCATCTGCATAATGCATAAAATAATCCAACAATGTACCATCTTTTCTTTAGGCATACCAGGAATAAAGGTGATGGAAAAGAGGAGACACTTTTAGAGAGCGTGAGCTTCTCGACTCTTTGGTAAAACAAATAAAAGATCTTTACTTCCATTTATAGCCGCTGGCTGAAAGAAGCAGACTCCTTCAGAGCAATTAGGGCTGATTTTCACACCCAGATAGCCCCCATCCGGCACTCTGATACTAATATCATCATGTCTTGCATATCCCTCATAATAATCAGATCCTTTTATAGGAGAAGAGTAATTGCACTCGGCTGTCAAGTTAAGTATGCCATATAAGCAGGTTTAATTCCGCCTTCATAAAGTTTTGTAGAGTTGAGAATTTGCATTATGACAGTTGCGTTTTCAGGGGGACTGGGACAGAGTCCACGAGCCCTAATGGATGTAACAGTGCCTGTGCCTACTGATTTGTAGAAGAAGAATCCGTGCTGGGGGTCTGGCGCGTACCAGTCACCGTCGGCAGTCCAATTGTCCCCAATACTGCAATCTGAGACGAGAGGCATCAGCAGGTCATAATGACAAGGGTACACACCCACAAGTAAGCTACCAACCTCCTTTAGCGTTCGTGACAAAGACTGCACATAACAATGCGGCTATAGCTTGCATCGTGGGGATATTCGCTTGTTCGAAAATCGAATTCCCGCGGCCATGTCTTCAACTATTATGATGCACCTGTCTGACCAGCAGTTTATATAGCTACACACGGAGGTAGATGTCTACGCTCTACCAAAGCAAACAGGTTGGTGACATCTCCAACACCCACGATAATATAGATTTGTTACATGTCTGACACTAAGACGTAAACTGGCCCATGCAACGTTTCTGCAGGAAATGAATACATTTCCCCAACAATCTCTTAAGACTAGGCTAATAGTTAATCTGGCAATAAATTATTGTAATTATATACAAGGGCTTAGCTACATTTCTCCTGTGTGGAGCCATATGCAGGGACTGAAGCCACACGCACACTCACCCTCCCCTCCTACCACACCAAACTCACCACCCACAGGAGATTCACTGGCTGCCTCCCCAGAATGTGTCATCTCCCCCACACCCCTTTAAAACGTAATAACTACTTTGTGAGTTGGTTAATACTAGTGCTCTTTTCAGTATTAATGGTAACCCAGATATGCTCTCTTGATGCATGCTTTTAATGAGTCCTTATTATGCTATATAGAAGATTTGCATTAAAAAAACACACACAATGCTAATGGTCATGAAAGGTGTATGTGTGTGTATATGTGCTGGTCCAAATATATGTTTTCTGAATGTCAGTGTAGAGTTCCTCTGCACCAGGGACCTCCAGTGTTCTGGCTCTTCAGTGAGGCGCCACATCTCTG